AACAAGAAACACTGTTCATATCTCAGAATTTAGATAAATTGCAACTCTTAGTATGGACCAATAAATTATCTCATGTATGCACCCTAAAATTGACCAGAAACCATCTATTTAAATGGACCTTAGGTTAGAATAAGCTAGAGAATTAGGCTAAGAGAATAACTTTTCCTATTCAGATATAGTAAATGATATAAAGGTTTGTTATATCCATGATAGCTCTATTTTCTCAAATCATTATGATTGGTTTCTTTGAACCTTCACTTAGATCACTAGTAGCTGCTGATCAGAGGTGGTATTCAGCAGGTTCTGACCAGTTCTGGAAAACCAGTAGCGGAAATTTTGAGTAGTTCGGAGAACTGGTAAATACCAACCCTGACTGCCTCCATCTATTCTCTGTCTCCCGAGTCCCAACTGATCAGGAGGAAATGGGGATTTTGCAGTAACCTTATCCTGGTGTGGGGAGGGAATGGAGATTTTACAGTATCCTTCCCCTGCCATGCCCACCATGTACGCTCGCCAAGCCATGCCTGCCAAGCCATGCCCACCGAACCAGTAGTAAAAAAAAATTGAATCCCACCACTGCTGCTGATGTCTACATTATAGAAAATCTTCACAAAATACATATCTAATATAAAACCATTCTCGCATGCAAAGATAGTTTGGCTGGTTAACAAGAATATATCATTCTTTTTACATAGTTCTAATGAACCTTTTTAAAAGTTACATTGCAAAATGTTCAATTTAGGTTTCTAATGATCTATCATCTTTGGGCAAGATACTTGAAACACCGAAGGCAGCCAACTTCCTACATTTTTCTACATTTTACATCTTTCAGGACAACCTTAGAGATGAAAATGATTTTGTACTCCCTGGTGAACTATCTGTTAATAGAAAGAAACAGATTGAATGTGACCTTGTTGCTTTTATTGTATTTCTCTGTGACTTCTGATACATTAGACCATAATGTTTATGGGGCAAGACTGAGAGCTGGAGATCCCGAACTCTGGTAGTTCTATTCCTAGCTGCAGAGTCTATGCCAGAGGATATCAGTAGGTGATTCCTATTTGGCTCAATTGAGCCCCGTGGCATTTTCTAGTTTCATCGCCTTCTCAGGCGAGGTAACACCTGTCTGTGTGAAATCATAGGAATTTGGAGCGGAGTACCATCAGGACACTGATAATACTCAGTTCTGTTTCTCACTATGTATAAAGTTGGGTGCAACTACTGTATGTTGAATATGATTGATTTAATTACAAACAAGCCAATAATTCATGTTTATAGATTAATTTTAATTCTTTTATTATGTGTGTGCATGAATAGATAAGTGCGTAAACCACATATTCAAGGTACATTTTTAGTCCTGTTGGGTTCTTAACTTCTGCTCTTATTGTTGATTTTAAAAAATTGCTTGGTATACTTTTTTTTAACCTTACCCTAGGAACTTTTAGCTATGGGGTTACTATAGGTTCCACACATGAACTGAATTGAATTGAATTGTGTTTGTGTGTGTGTGTGTGTGTCTACAAATGCCCACAGCAGTGCTAGTACAACCTTCTCTGTATAGCTAAATACCATGTTTTCCTGAAAATAAGACCTCCCTGGATAATAAGCCCAATCGGGCTTTTGAGCGCATGTGCTGAAATAAGCCCTCCCCAAAAATAAGCCCTCCCTGAAAATATTGCAACACAGCAGCAGCCGCCACAAGTTGACCACGTTCACCGCCTCCTGAACCTCAAAAATAATAAGACCTCCCCAAAAATAAGGCCAAGGGCTTATTTCAGTGGTCAAAAGAAAATAATACCCTGTCTTATTTTGGGGGAAACACGGTACTTACACCTACTTTGACAGAAGACCTACTTCAAAAGTACTTATTTAGTAACAGACAACACAAATATTCCAATCCATCCAAAGTTTTCTGCAGGTTGAGAGGGGTAGCTGGATGGGAGGAGGAGGGGGGGAAAAGTGGAGTCGAATGACAAGTACACGTGGTCCTTGACTTACAATTGGGCTCAATGACAACTAAAACTGAGCCCAACATTTCTGTTGCTAAGTGAAACATTTGCTAAGTGAGTTTGGCCCCATTTTACAACTTTCCTTGCCATAGTTGTTAACTGAATCACTGCAGTTAGCTTAGAACAGGGTTGTTAAGTAAATCTGGCTCCCCCATTGACTTTGCTTGTCAGAAGGTAGTTAAGGGTGATCATATTACGCCGGGACATCACAACTGTCACAAATATCAGTCAGTTGCATTTTGATCACATGACCTTGGAGATGCTACAAAGGCCATAAGGGTGAAAAATAGTAATAAGCCACTTTTTTCAGTGCTGTTGTAATTTCAAATAATCATTAAACTAACTATTGTAAAATTAGGATTACCTGCATGTGCCGCTGGGAACTTCTTCCCTATTTAACATAGGGATGAGATTAGCTTTTTAATACTGTTATACTATTTTTATACTAAAGTTTTTAAAAAATCAGACCAAATGTGCTATTCAGATGGTCTAATGCTGCTATAGAATTATATCTCATTACCCTGAAGAAGAAAAGTTTTAAGTTTACAAGCATGCATTGGAACAGATCTGACATTTTAATGTTGCAGAAACTATAAAGTAGAACTAATCATTTAATCTATTTTATTTCATATTTGCATTATGAATGAAACCATTTTTATAGCAGCAGAAACATTTACAGTGTTTCAACCATTTGTCAAGTGACATAGCATTCTTTTGGCAGAAAAGTTGTTGATTTTGACAGAACATTTTTTTTAAAAAAGCTTTATTTTTCATAAATCAAGACCTAATAATTAATTCTTGGTTCATATGTAGCAGTTTAACAATCAGATGTATTTTTACAAGGCAAGGCAAGGCACATATTTCAATATTTATTATTATTTTGTATGTTCTGACACTATGCATTCAAATGCCAAAACAAATATGTATAGTTCCAGCTATGTAATATACAGTGCCTGACATGTGTTTCTCTCTATGAGCAAATTTCCATTGTGTTCTGTTTCCTCTGTGACTATCTTATTCCAGGAAAATAAGAAAAGCCCACTGAGAAGGGTGAATAATGTTTTCCGCACTAAGGGAGTCAGGGAGGTGGGGGTACCGCAATAAACTGCATACATCATTCTTTCCAGCACCTAGGACCTGATTTGACCAACACATAGAAAGTAAAGATTGTAATCTGAATGGATATCATTCCTGAAGACTTTGGAACATGTGCAGAATTTGTCTGTCTGTCTGTCTGTCTGTCTGTCTGTCTGTCTGTCTGCCTATCTATCTATCTATCTATCTATCTATCTATCTATCTATCTATCTATCTATCTATCTATCATCTATCTATCTTAGCAATTTCTCTTGCAAAGGATAT